GCCACAAAACCTATTGTTGGTATCATTTATCCACCTCCCGAGGTCCGAAACATTGTTGACAAGACAGCCAGCTTTGTTGCAAGGTTGGTTATTTTATATGTGGCAGCTTTTTAAATATGTAATGGTAACTGGATTTCATGTATATGGCATAACTCATTCTTGCCAATTCACAGGAACGGGCCTGAATTTGAGGCAAGAATCCGTCAGAATGAGATCAACAATCCAAAGTTTAACTTCCTCAACCCGAATGACCCCTACCATGCCTACTATCGCCACAAAGTCAATGAATTTAAGGAGGGGAAAGCTCAAGAGCCATCTGCAGCTGTGCCCAAAGTTATGCAGCAGGCTATGCAACAGTCCCAGCAGCTTCCTCAGAAAGTAAGTCATTGAACTTCACTTTGCACTTTATTTTTTATTTTTTTAATAAAAAAAAAAAGGTCTGGTAGTCTTTGACCCTGACTAATATTTTACATGTTTTTTTAGGTTCAATCACAGGTGATTCAGGAGACAGTGGTCCCCAAAGAACCTCCCCCTGAGTTTGAGTTCATTGCAGATCCTCCATCAATCTCTGCATTTGACCTGGATGTTGTCAAGCTCACTGCCCAGTTTGTTGCTCGCAACGGGCGCCAGTTTCTCACTCAGCTCATGCAGAAGGAACAGAGGAACTACCAGTTTGACTTTTTGCGACCACAGCACAGCCTTTTCAATTACTTCACCAAGCTGGTGGAGCAGTATACTAAGGTGACTTAACAGATTGGTCTTCTCTGGGTGTGTATTTATTCAAGTGGTGATTCTAAACTTTCTAAGCATTATATTGATTCTCGACTTTAATCCTTTAGATTCTGATCCCTCCCAAAGGCTTACTGACCAAACTCAAGAAGGAAGCCGAGAACCCAAAAGAGGTTATGGACCAGGTATTCTGTTTTAACAGTGACTGTTTCTCAAAATAACCGTTTACATTTGCTCTTTCCCATGGTTGTAATATGTCCTGTTGTCCAACCATCAGGTAAGGTACCGTGTTGAATGGGCAAAGTACCAGGAGCGCGAGAGGAAGAAGGAGGAGGAGGAAAGGGAGAAAGAACGAGTTGCATATGCCCAAATTGACTGGCATGACTTTGTAGTGGTCGAAACAGTGGATTTCCAGCCTAATGAACAAGGTAATTATAATCACAGTAACTATATCTTTAAATAGTAACCCCCACCTGTAAATATTGGTACAATCATTTAATCTTTATTGGCATCTCAAATTCCTTAGGCCACTTCCCACCACCTACCACACCAGAGGAGCTCGGCGCTCGCATCCTGATCCAGGAGCGCTATGAGAAGTTTGGAGAGAGTGAGGAGGTAGAGATGGAAGTGGAGAGCGATGGTGAAGATGATGAGCGGGAGAATAGGGGTGAAAACCAGCCTTCACAGCCTGATCAAGACACACAAGTACAGGACATGGATGAGGTTAGAACTGATGGAGTAATTAATTACTGCGGATTGCAAGCTGTTTGTGTCTGACCAGTTATAGATTTGATACTATATGTTTTTCTTTTAATTAAATGGCATCTTTTCTAACCCACTGCTTGGAGAAAGAAAAAGAAGAAAACTTTAAGATCTTGTAACAAAATCGATTCATCCCCTGCTGCTTTCTTTAGGGATCTGATGATGAGGATGATGGCATGAAGGCTCCACTGCCACCGGACACCCCCATGCCACCTCCACTGCCTCCAACTCCAGATCAGGTTATCATTCGCAAAGACTACGACCCCAAAGGTAACACTGTTCGTTATGTGAGCAAGTTTTTACTTTGTACAATTTGTTTGTTTTTGTTTTTTAACTAATGTTACCTTTTCATTACAGCATCCAAGCCTCAGCCTTCAGTTGCAGTTCCAGACGAGTACCTCATCTCTCCCATTACCGGTGAGAAGATCCCGGCCAGTAAGATGCCAGAGCACATGCGTATCGGTCTGCTAGATCCACGCTGGCTGGAGCAAAGAGACCGCAGCATCAGAGACAGACAGACTGAGGATGAAGTTTATGCTCCTGGTTTGGATATCGAGAGCAGCTTGAAACAGCTGGCTGAGAGGCGTACTGATATCTTCGGTGTGGAAGAGACGGCCATCGGTAAAAAGATTGGGGAAGAAGAAATCCAAAAGCCAGAGGAGAAGGTAAAAACACTGAGTAACTGCAGCTTTTATAAAACTGTCTTTAACAATAATAATAACAATAATAATTGTATTCTTTTGCATTTCAGGTTACCTGGGATGGGCACTCTGGAAGCATGGCTCGTACACAGCAGGCAGCGCAGGCCAACATCACCCTGCAAGAGCAGATAGAAGCCATTCACAAGGCCAAAGGACTGGTGGGAGAAGATGACACTAAAGAGAAAATTGGCCCTAGCAAGCCAAGTGAAATTCATCACCAGCCACCCATCCCCTCCTCTGCACCCAGTTTGCCTAAACCTAGTCCCCCTGTCACAGCGGTGCCTCGCCCACCCTCTGTAAGTTAAAATTGTAATTGTATACATTTGAATGCTTTTTGTTGTACATATGTACCTTCTTATCACGTAATGTTGTTATGTAACAGGTGGCACCACCAGTACGCACCACTCTCTTGTCTGCTGTACCTGTAATTCCGAGACCACCTGTGGCTCCTGTGGTGCGTCTTGCACCAGGACAAGTTATTACCCCAATGCCGCCCATGATTCCTGCTCCCCGCATTAACGTGGTTCCCATGCCGCCTTCTGCGCCTCACATCATGGCTCCCAGACCACCTCCCATGGTTGTTCCAGCCCGTAAGTTAACCCCCTAGGGTCAAGGGTATAGTTGGCTGTTTTTTACTACTTTTGATTTTGCTCTTGAATTAGATAAAATGCAGGTAATGGCTCAGGCATTGTTTTGTAATTAGTTGTTCCAAAACAATCAGGTGTCACAATAAGATGCAACACTGATTATTCCTGACT